AAAAAATTATGTTACGCGTATTAAAAATAAATAAAAGGAGTCTATTTAAAAAATAATCTCACAATGTATTTGTAAAACTAAAATTTTAGGAAAATGATCTTAAAAGAAAAAAGGGAAAATGTGCTGCAATCTTCATTTGGCCATAAAGAAAAATGTAGGACAGGTGGTCTTGATCCATGTCCCACTGCCATGTGGATCCCCATTTATTGTTCCACTCACAAAATCACGCCACCCCTCCTACACTTGCTACTTTGAAGTAGTTATGGAAAGTAAAAACCACTACTCTTGACTTTAGAGAAACATGCATTCTTATAAATTCAACTACAAATAAGTACGGTTGGTTCTTTATGTCAAAAAAAAAAAAAAGGTTCTTAATTTAAATAAATATTTTAATAATTTCTTGAAAGATATTAGCTATATATTATTGGTTGGTTCATTTCATAACTCAAATTATATATATATATTTTAATTTTCTGATACCGTCAGTTTTTTCTTTCACAAATTTAACATTTAACTTGATTTTAATCATCGTTACTCGTAGACTATATATGATTTCCACTTCTTCTCAACATCACTCATGCTCTGTTTTCTGTTTTCTTTGATTAAAAAATAATGGTTTTAATGAAATTGGACCTTCTTACTTTGCAGGTTGACATTCCTCTCTTGGATGACTTGCGTCTGAGCTCCATTTGTGCACAGCAAATATGGCACAGCCAAATTACATTAATATCCTCATTTGTTCAAAACTTGAGGAAATTGACTATGTCGAACTATAATAATTTGAAATATCTCTTTACATCATCGATGGTTAAAAGTTTTGAGCAACTTGAAGTACTCAAGATATGGTATTGTAAGGAGATGCAAGTGGTAATACTGATAGAAGAATTGGTAGAAAAAGAAAAGACAAGCCATACAATGTTTCCCAAATTAGACAACTTACAGCTCTATGACCTTCCGCAACTCATAAGATTTTGCTCCAATTGCAATTCTCTTGGAGAAGTATATGAAGCTCAAGGACACAATGGTAGTGGATCACAAATAGTTGCAGCCACACAATCAAATTTGGTGGAAACAGAAGTCACTCAGTTTGTGTTTCCTCAAGTAACATACCTGGAACTTAGTCATCTACCCAATTTTAAGGGTTTCTTCCCTCAAATGCACATCACAAAATGGCCATTGTTGAAAAGAATGCTTGTGCAACAATGTGACAAGGTGAAGACATTTGCTTCAGAATTTCCAAGCATTGAAATAACATATGGAGACAACCAACTTGAAAGGCAAACTCAAGATCCTATGTTTTGGATTCGCAAGGTACGATCACCAAATGGGAAAAAATAACTGCATGTAGCTTATACAAATAATTTTTTTGTTAAATTCAAGTAGGAAAAAGTAGGAAAACTAAATCAAAACAAAATCAATCAAGGCTTACCTTCTTCTATTTTGATCTTTTCTAAATTTTGCTTTATTTCTATTTTGTCTAAAAATGACTTTTCTCTCATTTGTTTTATCTGCTATGGAAGTCTTTGGGAACTAAAATTTTTCATATATGAAAGCTTAAGTCGCCTGATATCATTTAACTTGAATACATATTTGTTGGGTTTGGTATAATGCAATGCAATGCAATGTGGTTTCCATCTATAATTTTGCATTTGTACACTTTAATGTAATATGATAATTTCCTATTTAATTTTATGAAACCAATCAAATTATAATATTTGTAAAAAATATTTGATTAGTTCTGTTTTTCTTTTTTCCTCTAATGGAAGATTCTTGTACATGTATAGCTATTAGGCAAATGTTGGCTTGGGTTTAAGTTTTGACAAGTGATATATAACTACCTTTCATGAAGTATGGATTTCATAATTTTTACTTGTTTAGAGCTCATGCTAACCAATTAGACAGACGTTTCAAAGAATAGAGCAAATGCAGCTTGT